ATGTAATCATATATGTAATAGTAATGCAAAAAGCTAATAAAATATAGGTTACGATTTGGCATTAAAAAAAAAAAAAAAAAAAAAAGAGTATCATGAAGAGGAATATGAACCTAATGATGATGAGTCTTTATCTGGTGAAGAAGTTGAATATGAATATAATTATAAAGTTTTTATCAAGTTTGAAAATAGAACATCTCTTCTGACAAAATAGTATACAGCTAAAGTATCTATAATTGATGAGCTACTTTCAGAAATTCATATAAATATTAAACTTTAATGGGAAAAAAATCAGTTGATCCAAATGATTATCATATTGCATTCAAATCTGAAAAGGTAGCAGAAACAGGTACTTAACTAGTTGATACTCAAAACTTTAAAAAATTTCATGCTAATTATCAAAAATATAAATCTAAAAATATCAATATAGTCTTTTTTATAATATTTATTAAGTCAAATCTAAAGTACAAAATAGATGTAAGTACAGTATAGTAAAATATTTTATATTATATGTATTTATTATATATAATAATATAAATAATTTTAAATACTTATTTAGAATCGTGAGCCTAATAATAATTCAGATGATGATATTGTTACAAATTTGAGAAACGAAAATTTTATTCCTAAAACTTCAAATCTATCTTCACTTGAAACATCAATTGCAAAAAATGTCTTAGAAATTCGTAAAGAAAATTATTGCACAATTTATAATCAACTATGTTTAAATAAAGATGAAGCTAAAAAAATCATATTGAAATTACTTTCATAATGCTTTCAATTTGGGCATCTGAAATTGTAAGTATATAAACAACTTTTATAATGTATAATTTATTTTATATTATAATTAATTTTAAATATATATAGAATAAAGCAATGGTATCACTAACAAAACCACCTACACATCTTTTGTTTGTATATAAATATTTAACAAAAACAAAAGTGTCATCATAATTGTAATCTAGTTCTATATAATTTAATCAATCTAATTCAATGCAACAACCCAATCTAATGCAATAATCTGATTTGATGTAAGAATCTAATTTGATACAACAACTCAATTCAATACAACAATCTGATTTGATGCAACAACCTAATTTGATACAACAACCCAATCTAATGCAACAATTCAATTTAATGCAACAACCTAATTTGATACAACAATCTAATATAATATAACAACCTAATTTGATATAACAATCTAATATAATGCAACAAGCTAATTTAATACAACAAGGTAACTTAATGTAACAATCTGATTTTATTCAAGCTTCACTCTTTTCAGGTCAACATTATATGACATCTTTATTTTATAATCCATTTTCAATATATATTTCTTTACAAACTTACAAAACATTTTTTCAAATACTAATTCAATTATTTTTATAATAAACATTATCTATAATCAAAATTTTTTTAAGAAATATAGATGAAAATGAAGATATTGAAGATTATTACCAGAAATTTTTATTAAAATTTGAATAACAAAAAATTTTTATATGACTACTTTCTGAATTATCAAATGAAGACTTTGAAAAATATAAAGTAGATATTATTAGTACATGTCAAATTCTTTGTAAATATGCTGCAAAGTATAATGCATTATCATAACAAATTGTAAGTTAAATGAATATTTATTTATAATCTGCTATATTAAAGAAATTATTAGAATATAAGGGGTAATTTGAGAGCATGCAACTATTAATAGATATATAGAGTCTAAACAATTTTTTACAAAATACTGATGTTATTTTAAATGATTTTTTATATATAAAAAAGCTAATTCTATCAGGTTGAAATCAAGTGAATAAGGAGAAAGAAACTCTATATATACCCCAAATACATTTAATATTCAAGCAATCTATCATTATAATGGATTCTTATATTATCAAGTACTAAAATACTTTGTTCATATGAAAATAAATTCATTTGAGACAGCTAAAAATAATTAAAAAAATTGTTTAAAAAAAATATATATATATATACTGTATACAAATATTATAATATATTTTATATATATATTTCAATATGTACTATTTAAGAAATTACAAATTCTTTAAATCGCTCTTTTGTACAACTACTCTCTATAATATCAATAGCAATTATATCATCTAAGATTAATGTAAGCAAAAATATATAATGCTTACCATGTAGAAACACTATTTTTTTGATAATCCTTGTATTAATTTCAGAATAATTATATTTTCGAGAAATAGTTCATTTATCTTTAGATGATTCATCCAGAAAAATTAATTGGTTACTTTTATATTGAGAACCAATACAGACCATAAAGACACTATGAAGTAATTCATTGCATTCTTTTGCTACTTTATACAACTGAAATAAAAATTAAATAAAAATTAAATAAAAATTATATTTTATTTATATTAATTTATATAATTATATAAAATAAATACTTTTTTTCATATTATTCTACAATAAGCTAATGAACATCAAATAGTAGAAATTGAAACATTTTTGTCACATCGAATTTCTATTTGTTCAACAATTTCATCAAGATATATATCCAGATTTTTTTGAAGAATATTTCATAATATCTATTATATAATATATAGTATAAATTAATTAATACTATATATATAACAAATATTTTACACCTACATTTATATCATTTCAATTAAAAGTTTTATACTGTCCAGGTACTTGTTTTCATAGATTTGCTACAGTTCCTCATTTTTTATATAACCATAACACTTTCTTTACCAAACCTTTACTAATATAAAGAAGATTTGTAATTTGCAATATTGAATAATTATCATAATATAAAAAAATTATACATCATTTCAAGTCATCACTATACGCAGGAGGCATGTTAACGAAGATTTTTTTGAATTAAAATATAAATATAATGATTATATAAGTGATACAGAAGGAAAGCCTGAAAGCGAATATTTGTTTTCATTGTATACTATGTAATTTATTATTTTCAATTAAATTTTCACTGTACATTACGTAATTTATTATGTTTTGATAAATTATCTAATTAGCTAACATATGTTTATTGTATTATTGAAATTACGATCATATCAATACCACTACATATTGTACGTTCATAATATATCAAAAATCTTTAGGATTCTCTAAGAATCGAAAAATCAACTAGAATCGGCTGATTTCTCGTGATTTCACATGACATAATGATCTGCAGAGGTCACACCTTTTTGCAAACCGCCATAATTGATTAGTTGCAAAGAATCGATTGAAAAATCATTTATTTACTTAATGAATTAGTTGAAAAAATAGATTGACGATTTGTAACACTACGTTCGAACGAACACGTGAATGGAAAATCAATCCTCTGCCCTGTTTTACAATACTTCCTTTAAAAGCTTGGGTAGCTCAATCTTTGTGGGTCCAGAAAGGAAAATTTATACTTTTTATGCATAATTGTTCATATAACTTAACGTGCACAAAAATAATTGTAAGAGCACAGACGCCGTAACCGGACTCCCTGCTTTGTTTTTATAACGATAACGATAAATTATATTGTCCCTCACCATTACAGTAATACACAACCCAATCATATTTAAACTGATTATCAAAATCAACAACCAATCAAACCGAATTTCTATTTTACTTCGTGATTTGGGACTTGATATTATACAAAATTCAAGTATAGAGAAGCCTAGAATCCAGACAACTTGTTTAATCATTTCAGAGGTTTCCAGACATATTAAAAAACTGTTCCTATTGTCAAATTTATTTTTGATGGTGATATTTTTTGTGTTTTTAAAAAACTCAGGAAAATTAGGATGCTGTACGCATATCATGTGTAATCTATGATCTCTATAAATAAATTTCATGTAAATATCATGTCATTCAGGCAAAAAAAAAAGATGCCGAAAAGTTTTAAAGAATATATCCAACTAAATGGATATGCTGGAAATTTTAATCCGTCCAATTCTCTATTTTACAGTTTGAGACCAAAGAAACTTTTTCCAACCATTTTAATTGGTGGATTATTTACAATATTGCTTATACTATATGATATTCACTCGGTTCCCCATCAATATGTTCAGTATTCTGTCGGAATATCTCAAGAATTGTACAAAGATGGCATTAGTAAATGTATGATGATCAACCGTATCAAGCCTGATAATAAATTTGTACGAACAAATAATCCTAGATTTGTTCCGGGAACAGAAACTATTATTTTGAAAAATGGAAGGATCTTAAACGGAAAGGGAGATTGTATTTTAGGTGATATCATTTTAAAAAATGGATTAATTCATGATATTGGACCAAATCTTAATGATGAAGATGCTGTTATAATTGATGTTAAAAAAAAATTTATTACACCGGGACTCGTTGATATGCATAGGTAAAAAAAAAAAAACCCCCCCAAAAGATGGTAATCTATGACTTGTTTATAACTTGAAATAATTTCTAGTCATGTTGGTGTCGCCTCTTGGCCATATTTGTTCGCAACTATCGACGCGAACGAAGAAACCGATCCGATCACATCTTATGTTAGTATTCAAAAATTTAAATTGACATTGGAATCAAACCCCCTAATAAGTTTTTTTTTTCATTTTTAGGTTCGCGCTCAGGATGCCATCAATCCAAATGATCCAGGTCGGTAAAAATTAACATGAATTGAATTAACTAATAGTAACCTACAATACTCAAATAAATTTATTTTGGTACGTCACTTCAGCAATTAGAATTATCACATCTGGAGGTGTTACAACTTCGTTGGGTAAGAAGGATTACTTAACTGACTATTTATATGATATACGCATTTATATTTGTAACTGTTTGAAGATAAACGCATTTTTCTACGTGAGCAACCATTAGTTGGGTCAATGTAGAAACTATGAATTAGTTTAGGACCATAATGACCAATATCTAACTTAGCGTTCGACATTTGATATAGTTCTACCTGGTAGCGGTAATTTGATGGGTGGCGAAGGTTTCGTTATTAAAATGCGACCCGTAGATACCATGTCAGTGGATGATATGGGAATTAATGCACATATTGATCCTGAAAAAGAGAGAGCTTGGCGTTGGCTAAAAATGGCTTGTGGTGAAAATATAAAGGTACTAATGACATTTGTTTATGTTGGTTCTATCCTGAAATCCCGAAAGCATTTTCCGAAGGAACATAATACCGACTACATTATACCAAATGCTGGTTAACTTTGTCGGTATTATGTCTTTTCGGGAATCTGTCTTTCGGAGTTTTAGGGTAGAGCCGTTTATGCTAGTGTATTTAATAAAATTCGGATGTTTAATTTCTTACCAAATAAAGCGGGTCTACGGTTCTGTTGGACGTATGCCTTCTACACGGTTGGGAGAAGCATGGCTCTTCCGTAAACTCTTTGCTGAGGCACGGGCGTTGAAGCAGAGACAAGATGACTGGTGTGATGCTGCAAGTAAATTAGGTAGCAGTGGGCAGTTGAATTCATATTTTCCGGAGGAACTCCGACTTGAAAGTTTGGTGGCATTATTAAGGGGCGATGCGAGATTGAATGTCCACTGTTATGAGGTTTGTCGTTATTGCAAAATTTAAACCTATATTTAAAGCTTCTAATATGATCTTTATACAGACCTATGATATAGAAGCAATCATTCGACATTCTTTGGAATTTAATTTTACTATTACAGCTTTACATCATGCGTTAGATGCTTATCGTATTACTGAGATAATTAAAAAACGTGTAAACAATAACATTACTATTGCAACATTTTCTGACTTTTGGGGCGCCAAGAAGGAAGCATTTCAAGCTAGTACAAAGGCACCCAAAATTTTAGCAGATGCACATATTCCCGTAGCATTAAAATCGGATCATCCCGTAATAAATGCGGTGAATTTTATTGTTATTATTTTTACTTAAAATTAAAACAAAATGAAACACTAAAATATTATATATTAACTATAGCAAACTTTAATGTTTGAAGCTTCCAAGGCACATCATTATGGCCTTGATGAACATCTTTCTCTTGCAGCCGTTACATCAGTACCTGCAAAAGCGCTTGGTTTAGAGCATCGCATCGGTCAAATTTCCAAGGGATATGACGCTGATGTTGTGGTAATAATGAATAATGAATATGAAATGTGGATGTTTATAGAAATATATGTTTATTATGATTATTTGATGATTAGGTTTGGGATTCTCATCCATTGGAATTAGGTGCAACTCCATTAGAAGTTTATATTGATGGAATCCCTCAATTTAACACCACCATATTTGTACTTGGAAATGATGTATCAAAACCAATCCCATCAAATAATATAAATACATCTACACCAATTATGCAAAAACCTGTTAAACCACGATTAGCCTCCTCAATTGTGTTGAAAAATGTTGGCAAGATTTACGTTGATGGGAATCAAATAATTGATACCACTTCATCAACACAAGGAGATATTGGTATAATAGTTAAGGATGGCATAGTCGAATGTATTGGTATTAATTGTACACAACCAGATCATATTTCATCATATGAAGTAATAGATTTAAATGGTGGATATGTATTACCAGTAAGTTCTTTTTTTTTTAAAAAAAAAATAACCTATATTTTACAGAATTCGTAGTTAACTAGTTGTAAAAAATTTTTAACATATTCAATTTAAGGGATTTACTGCTGTTGCACCGTCTCTAGGACTATCAGAGCTTTATAGAGAACCCTCCACGACAGACGGTAGAGTGACAGCTGTATCTGATCCTAACAATGCTGAAGGAATTATTTATGCAATCGACGGATTGAAATTGGGAGGCAAACATCTAGAGGTCGCACATAAGGCTGGAGTATTTGTTGCTGTCACTGCGCCACTCTCGTCTGAGGGTGTGCTTACCGGAGTTTCTATGGCATTTGAAACTGGCGCTAACTCTGGTATAATATTTTAAGAATATCGTCTTGACGATTATCAGCGAGCACTGACTAGATATCTTTATTTCTTTAATAAGTTCTAGAGTATGATCCTCAGCCAATTGTTAAGGAAAATGTAGCACTTCATGCCCAGATAGGAACTCAATTCAAATATAGTAATATAAATTCATTAATTATACATATGCGACTGAAGCTAGAAATTTTAATGAGATTTTTAAAAAATTTTTGGCTGCCTTTTTTTTAGTTAGGTTCTAATTTAGGGTTAGCTTTGATAATAAAAGAGTATAAGTGGAATTTGGCAGTGTTTATATTTTTAAATTGAGGTCCCTAATTTCCAGCTTCAGCCGCAACATTCAATTTTATTATTTATTTTATTTATTCATGTGATTATTTTTAATGAACAGCTACCATACCGACGGTTTCAGGTCAGATTGCTTTGATTAGAAAAACCTTGATAAAGAATCTAAAACAAGATAATATCTTTGGTCGTGCTGCACGCGGAGAGATCCCTTTAGTAGTATATACTCACAGTAAAGATGAAATTGCTTCTTTGATCCGATTGAAAATTCAGGTTGAAAATAATGGTGGACAATTAAACCTTGTGATATTGGGTGGTACTGAAGCGCATATTCTTGCCGTAGAATTGGCTAAACATAAAATACCAGTAATCCTTATCCCACTCCGAGCTATTCCAGAGTCATGGACAGCTCAACATGCGTTAACAGGGGCACCTATTACCAATAAAACTGGAATTGATATACTTTATGCGAACGGAGTTAAGATAGGAATAGGTGTGGTAGTATCAGGTTCGGAAAGAAATTTAATTTGGGATGCTGGCTGGGCACATATAAATTCTAGAGGATTGATTTCAGAAAAAGATTCACTTGGATTTATTTCATGGAACTTGGAAGAAATTCTTGGTTTAAATATGAAAGATAGAAGGTTAATGAAAGGCAATATGGCAAATTTTGTAGCGTATGATGGGAATCCTTTTAACATGAATACAAGGGTGAAAATTGTTGCTGGAGGTGGTAAGAATAAAATTCTTATTGACCCTGACCAAGATTAGTAAGATATGAAGATTATTAGCTCAAGTTTGTGTAGCACATATTACCATATTACTAGTATTGTATTATATAATTATTTTAATTTATCTTTTTTACAATAAAGTTCTAAATTTAACAATATTCTAATTTTAAAAAAGAAATTAATTCTTGATAACGAAATACGTAATAAACGTTTACTTAATTGTTCTTATGGAAATGATAAATAGGCCTTTATTGAAATCAATAAGCCATAAATGACTTTAATTTCTGATTAATTGATCGTAGATGTCATTAGATTTTAGATCTATCGCTATTGTTATCATTGCATTTATAAACTAGATTGCTGATCGGTCATATAATTGGTCATACACAGCATTATTCGGTTATTTAATAAATTCATGGTAATTTTAGGACCGAATACATTTATTTGCCTTTTTCTCCCTTCCCCAAAAAACAAACAAAATATTGACTTTTCTATTATGACGCGTACCAGACAAACGAAAAGAAGTTCCAAAAGGGTTAAAAGAGATAATCAAAATAGTAGTTTGAACAAAGTACGGCCTGATAATGATAGTGAAGAAGGAATTTATACAGTTGAAAAAATATTAGCACATAGATTATCAACAAATGTATGTTATTTATTTATTTATTTATTTATTAAATGTTATTATTATTCACGTTTATTCGCGTTTTTTTTTCTTTATTTTCATTTTCCTGCAGGGACATCTTCAATACAAAGTAAAATGGGCTGGCTATGATGAAAGTGAATCGTGTTGGGTAAACGCTACTGATGTGTATGAATCGATCAAACTTCATTTTGTTGCTTTACTTAATTATCAACTTTACTAACACATATAAACTTAAAGATTTGCACCGTATTTTGTTACCCGTTATTGGAATGACCAAAAAATGAAATCATCTGCACAATCGTCCAAACAAAGCGTTAAAAATAATCAATCAAATAAAGAAATTAATTCAGATATCAAGAATACCCAAGATCAAGCTCAAATTAATTCTAAACAGCCAAGCTTGAAGAAAAATAAAACGAAAACTAATAATCAAGTTAATAGCTCTTATGATAACACAACTCCCATGAGTTTGAGTAAGGTTGATAAAATAAGAAATGTAAATTTAAATAGTGACATCTTTTCAGACAACAGTAATGCTAACGGAGCATTTAGTGATAATGAGACTGTTGATATTACGGATGAAAACAATCTCATGAACACAAATAGTATCTCTTCAAAAAGTGATAACCTCAATATTGAGGTTGAGACTATTGAAACCACTAGTTTTAATAAGAAAGTGAAAACAGATAAAGATACTACAAAAGTTAATGAAACAATAATCGAAGATGACAATTCGTACATTATTGTTTCCGAAGATGATCCACTGAATTTTGTAGAGGTTGTTCTTGATGTGAAACCTATTGACGCACACTTTGAGAAAGATATTACACAAGAACCACAATGTAATCATGAACAAATTAATTTCCGAGCAGAAAAGAATTGGGAGAATTATGCGACAGTTATTGATATCAAAATTGACCCTGGTAGTGGGGATCTCATGTGTGTTTTGAAATGGTAAGTCGTTTCTAAATTAGCACGTATTGTTCGTTTATGTGATTGAGATTGCTAGGAATGAAACGTCTGATAAAGTTTTCTTTTAGGGTTGATGGAATCAAAACACTTCATCATTGCGACAAAGTTCATCAACGGTGTCCTCAAAAAGTATGTAAAAATTTCGTTCTAAAAATAAATCTTTAATGCTGTGCATATGATGCTCTTCATCAAAGTGATCAAAATGTCATACTTTCTATAGTTGCTCAAATTTTATGAGGCAAATCTTCGAATCAACCAAATAAATGAACAACATTAGAAGTGACCTCCGATAAATACCTCTGATATAAACGATTTATTTTCTCGCCTTTTATATAATTTCTGCCTTCAGTTATTTTTTACAAATATTATTGTAAATGTCACATATGCTAAGCTGGTTATTTATATAGAGATAGTAATAAATGTGAAGGCTAACATGAGGTTGGGTCCAGTATAAGGCGGTATGCGAGGGTGCTAAATGAAACGTAATTTGTGAAAAATTTTTTTCTTTTGATAAGTTTTGCATTACACGATTTGATTTTTTTCTTTCTCAACATCAGAAAATCTGAAATCAAAAATTTACAAAGTCAACTAATATCTTAATAGAAAAAGTGTAGAAACTTTAATAGGTGCCGAAACTCGCTGAAAGGTGGTTTCGGTTTCCACTGTAGAAAAAATGCAAGCGATTTAACCGCATTAAATATCGTAAAATTATAAAAGAAATAATCATCTTTAGCCCTAAGGGATTGGAATGTTTCTTGTAATCTATACCAACAATAAATTTAACATGATCACTTATATAAATTCAAAATGGTCCGATAACTTTATCCTCAATAATAAAGCTCTACAAAGTCAAATCTTTATGCATAAAAAAGCATATTAGCATTATATAGTTTTTTACTCTACAATTTTCCTAAAACTTTCTCACATAAAATATTTTCGTAATTCGAAAGATTGAAATATTCTGGTGATTTTGTATATTATAGGTAGGGTTGTAAGTTGAAGTGTTAGATTTTTTCAATAGCATTATGATAATTATGAACGCACTTACTAGATAAATGACGAACGTTTCAGAATTGTTATAAGAATTTTAGATTCAAATTCATATTCACGTAGGGTTTGGTTAGTGATATGAGTCGAAAATTGATTAATCGTTTAGTTGACAGTTGACACTAATCGATTAACAATTTTGACCCAACTATTAATACATTAACCAATTAATCGATTAACTATTAATCGATTAATCATTATTTATTTTTTATTTTTTAAAAAGAGGTCTATCCTCTATCTCTTTTATTAATTAGTTAATTATCCCTTAACCCGTTTAAAATTCAGGGAAAATTTTCCCGAATTTAACTATAAAAATAATTCTGATCTATTTTTTTAATATTTAAAATATTTAAATAAAAAAATTTAACACGATAATATTTGAAAATAAGGATTATATTATGTAGTATTTATATTTATATAAGACAAAAATTTAAACTGCTTCTAAAATAAAAATAGATAAATTTATAAAAAATTTTAATTAAAAAATAATTTACAAGTAATTTACTTGTAAAAAATAGACTTGTATTAGAAGTAAAAAATTTTTATATAGTTAAAAACATATAAAAGTTTAAAAAATTTAAAGAAAATTTTATAATAAAAATTTCAAAACAAAACTTTAAATTTTTATTACTCAAAAATTTTTTAATAAAATTAATAAAATAGATTTTAAAATATATTTTTATTTAGAAATTATACTTCTAAAATAATATTTAAAATTTTTTAAAAAAAATTTTAGAATAAATTTGTAAAAGAAACAATTTAAGAGATATATATATAAAATATATAATGAAAAAAATTTTTTTTTTTTTAGTATTAAGGTAAGGTTTTGCTTATATCTTTATTAGTTAGCAATTACATGGAGTTGCTATGTACAAAAAGTAATTTTCTATATAAATGTTATAGTTAAAACCAATATTTGCAGTCAAGATTAAATTATTAAATTATTAACTATATAACTATTGCTCTAATTACAAATAAAAGAAAAACTATATTTAAGAATAAAAGCTTAGATATATTTATCTGTGATCTAAACCTACTAGAGTAGTCAAGACTTATCTAGATTTGTAAGTTTAAAATATAATTATAGAAATATTGTATTTAATCCAAAGGATGGTCTAAATATTGATTTTACAGATAACATAACTGATAAGTGAACAGGTATTAGAGTTGGAGTATAGTTAATCAGATAGTTCATATAGGTAAAAATAAGTATAACTTTTACAATTAGGGTTTTTTTTGTTTTTTTGACTTGATTAAAATAAAAACTAAAAGTAAGATGGTTTAGGTCTTTGTCATTGTTTCTAAGTAGCAAAGTTTATACAATATGGTTTTCATATTTATTTATAAGAAGTTTATTAACTTTAAGCAGAATAGCAATAATTGATTGTAAAACTAATTTATATAAAATATTAAAGTTTTGTACAGTATTAATTAAAGATTTAGAAATAAGTTTTTTGAATATAATATCAAGATAGTGTAAGTTTGTTTAGTAAGATGTATGATAGAAAGCATAATAGTTACTAATTTTATAAATATGTTCTTCTTACTGATTTATAAATAAATCAAGATTTGTATTATTAATATATTCAGATATATTGGTTTAAATAATATTTGAGATAAGTAATAAGTTTAAACATGTATGTTAGTAAGTTAGAGAGTCAACTAAGTTGTAATAAAAGCAGTTAACGTTGTAAAATATATGTAATTAAGATTTGTGAAAATAGAAATAAGTAGAAAATTTATTTAATAAGTTTTAATTTTAAATGCTTTGAGATAGTTGAGTTTGAAGTTAGTAATATTATATGTTGCTTTTTAATTATGATTAAAATATAATCAAGTTGATTTTTAGTTAATTTGAAAAATCAGAGAGTTTCATTTTATATTATGTTTTTGAAAAGACTATATTGCTAAAATGTAGGCTCTGCAGATGTTTTAATAAAGTTTTTAGTTAGATGTTCAATAAAATATTAGTTCTAAAATATTATATAATATAGATTGTAGATACTTGTATAGTTAAAATATAGTAAGTGGATAGGTTGTCAACCCCCAAGTGGCAGGTCTAGAGTTCAAATCCCAGTGATGGCGAAAATTTGCAATTCTTT